CCCAAAGTGGGGCAGGGTGAGAGGCACAGAAAGAGCCCAAAGTGGGGGGTGTGCTTGTGAGAGGCTCAGGAAGAGCCCAAAGGAGGGTGGTGTGAGAGGCACAGGAAGAGCCAAAAAGGGCGGTTGGTTGTGGAGAGTGAGGCGTAGGAAGTTCCTAAGGGAGCTGAGACATGGGAAGAATTCAGGCAAGGTGGTGAGGTAACACATGGGCTGACACAGAGTACGGGTGCACACAGGCTTAGTAACTGAGGGGAAAACTCAAATGCACAAAGGGAGGTGAAACACAGGAGATACACGGACTGGTACAGGGACAAAGCAGAACCAGGAATCGCACAAGGACTGCCTGAGGACCCAACCTGGAAAGTCGACAGTAACTGATGGGATGGTCTGAAGATTTGAGAAGAATGCAACAACTGACACAAAGCCTCTACCACACAGAATATTGTCACAACAGCAAGTTGGAGCTCACAGAGACATCATAAATATTTTGCCAGCATGACTGAACTTCAGGGAAAGAAATACTGGTTTCAGTCTTAAAAGTGTTGAAACTACAAGAGGAAATTGTTCTTAAAGGATACTACATACCACTGTGCTTGATTGGAATTATACTTCATATGTTTTAGTTCCTGAAAGTTGCCATAATGAAATTTTGCAACCTATGGCTATCAGTTGTATTCGATTAAATTGTACTGTGTCATGAAGACACTTGATGCTACAGCTCACACGTCTTAATATGACTATAAGGTGCCAGGGATGTGAACTAAGATCGAGAGATACTTCTTCCTGAGATTTGACCACGTTTCAGGCCATACATCTTGTCAAATTGAAAATGAGCTGTGTCCCCTGGAAAGGAGATAAGTTAAAACTGGACTCTGATGCTCAGGCATCTGCTCTGATTTACCACGAAAAGCAGAGGAGAGAGCTGTGTGCACTTCACGCCCTCAATAATGTCTTCCAGGACGGAAGAGCATTCACCAGAGACGCCCTCCAGGAGATTTTTCAGAGGTACCTGAAACATGGGGTGACACTGTTGTAGTGTCGATTTACATTAACCCAATTTCTGGAAACACAGTCTTTACTGAAGCCATTGTCAGCCTTGGCCCAGTTGGTAGAATGAGCTCACCTCAGAATCAGAAGGTTGTATGTTCAAGCTCCATTCCAGAGACCCGAACACCTACTTGAGGTCAACATGGTGCTGAGGGAGCATTGTGCGCTTTGAGGTCTTTCAGATGAGACATTTAACCAGAGTTCTGTCCGCCCCCTTGGGTGGGTGATAAAAATCACGTAGCCACTATTTGAAAAAGAAGAAGGGAGTGTTTCTGTTAACTGCACTACATTTTGTTGTATTCAATTGGCTATAAAGAGCTGAGCGATTTAGAGGTAGTGAAAGGCAATATAAAAATGCAAATCTCCCCCTTTGTGCTGGTTTCCATAGCTGTTTCTAATGATGTGAACCCAAGTTATAGGACTGAAGGATGTCCATTTGGATCTTTGTGTCTGCATTGCTGGGTTTTCAACCGGGGTTATCTAGTCAAACCTAATTTTCTCAATGTGTTTATACTTAATCCTAACTCTTCCCTTTTTAAATGATTTTACAGACTTTGTTTCAATAACTAGTAGAAATAAACTGCTGTTCTAACAATGTGAACAAGTAATTGTGCCTCCTTGTTACCGCTTCACCAGCCCAAGTATTTGGTTTTGATTTTAACCATCAAATAAAATTCCAAGTTGCTCGAGAGAAACAACTGGAGAGGGGAAAATGGAAGCCATGTCACAGGAAGAGGTATCTCTTTCCCTCTCCCCTCATTCCCCCTCCACTCTCTGCCAACCCCCTTGCTGCCACACACACACACACACACACCCCCCCCCACACACCCCCCCCCCCCCCCCCCACCGTCACTTCCATTTTTTTTTTGTTCCATTTATTTATCTCTTCGATCTCTGCAATTGGGAAGATAAAACCAGCAATTGTGTTTGGGTTTTTTTTGATCACTCAAAGGTGTGTGGATTAAAATTACTGTGGTCTTGGAACAGATCAGCCATGATGCAGTAAAATGGTGCATAGGACTCGAGGGGCTGAATGGCCTCCTGTGTTGACATCATGAAATATTTTGCTGAACATCTGCAGCATTAGCTTTGGAAGCTTTTTGAATAATGCAAGTGTTTTTTATCCCAAACTTGAGAACTGAACACCAGTGGCTTGTTTTCCAATCCTCTGGTGCACCATCTCTAGTAAATACATCTTTTCTCCTGAAGCCAACGTTTATACCAGTTAAAACACTTTAACATTTACAATGTTGTCCAGTTCATCACACACACATAATTTTCTTTATAATATATCTTTCATGTTCTCAGGATTTAGCAAAGCTTTCCTTAGCCAATAACATAGTCACAGGAAAAAATAATAAATTTCTCTGCGTCAAAATCTTTCACATTCCACCCTGGGAGTGTTTGACACTCTGTGAGCTACCATGTAAGTTATTGGGTATCTTTGTGAATGAACCTGATCTGTTATCCACATTTTCACCAAGCACAGGTCCCCAGGACACATGAGGGCTTTGATTTGGTCATTTGGGGGAGATGGTAGATATGAAGTTGTTAACCCATTTCTCTAACTAATGTACTTTAGGGAAGGAAATCTGCTGTCCTTAGCTGGTCTGGCCTACATGTGACTCCAGGCACAGCAATTCTTAACTACCCTCTGAAATGTCCTAGCGAACCAATTGTTCAAGGGCAACTAAAGATGGGCCACAAACCCTGGCCTTACAACAGTAAAGAAAAAAAATCTCAGGAGCTGATGTGTGGTATGTTTAGATTTTCAGAAAACTTTTGATAATGTCCCAATCAGGAAGTAACTAAGTAAAATGAGCATGCATGGGATTCGGTGAAATATGTTATTATGAATTGAGAATTGGTTAATGACCAATAAACCAGAGAGTAGGAATTAATGGATCATTCTCAAAGTGCCAGGCTGTGGCCAGTGGGTTACTGCAAGGATCAGAAATAATTTGGATGGGGGGTCCAAACTTGCTCATGTGCCCAAACTAGGTGTTCAGAGGATGCAAAAGAGTTGAACATGCCAAATAAATGTGGCTAGAACATGGCAATGGAAGATAATGTGAATAAGGTAAAGTTTTTCACTTTGGAGAAAATCAGGACCCTTCTGAAATGGTGGGAAGTTGAAAAGCACTGTTGTCCAAAGGGATCTCTGTGTCCTTGTTTGTGAGTCACTAAAAGTTAGAATGCAGGAGCAATAAGGAAGGCAAATGGTTTTTTGGCCTTTGTATGGCGATTTGGGTCAGAACTAAAGATAATTTGCTGCATTTGCATGGAGCTTTGGTGAGAGCTCACCTGGAGTATTGTGTACAGTTTTTGTCAATTTACCTGTGCTTGCCATCAAGGAAATGCTACAGAAGTTCAATAGATTAATCTTTGGGACAGTGGGATTGTTTTATGGTGAGAGATTGAGAAGACTGGGTTTGTAGACCCTTGTGCCTCAAAGAAAAATGGTTGACTTAATTGAAACTGACTTAATTGAAACTAACTTAATTCTTACAGGGCATAACAGGGTGAATGTAGAAAAGATATCCCTGTTAGCTGGTGAGTCTAGAAGAAGGGAACATAATCTCAGGAAGAAAGCGAGGCATTTAGAACTGAGATGAGGAAATTCCTCAGTCACAGCACAGTGAATCATTGGAATTTTTTACATTAGGGAGTTGTGGAAGGTCCATCATTGAGCAGGTTTAGTCAGAAGTTGATAGAGTTCTGGAGACTAATTACAACAAGGGGACATTATGAATGCAGGAAATGGCACCGGACTAGTGATCAGCCCTGAGCTAACTGATTGGAGCAGGCTTGATGGAGTGAATGTCCTCCTCCTCCTGTTCATTTGGTAAATTGGTTGTGTGGCAAATCAATGAAGTTCACAACATGGAAACAGACCGTTCATCCCACCAGTCCATGCTGCTTATGCATCACAATCACCACTGCCTTAACGTCATTCTGTCAATGTCTGAGCTCAGCTCATCTACTGGAGCCATCATCCACAGTGCTGCCCTGAATGGTCTCACATCGTCAAGCTTCCAGAAGCGAACTAGTCAATGGCTATAGGGCCTGTACTAGGTCTTGGTTTTAGTTTCCAGGTCGAGTTAGAGTTCTAATCCTCACTGAAGTCCCTCTGTGGCCTCAGCCCAAACCCATCTTCATTACCTTCTCCAGCCTCATAAGCTTCAGAACTCTGAGCTCTTCCTGCAGTGGGCTCTTGTGCGTCTCCTGCCCCTTTTCACCCCTTCTTTCCTGGCCTTGGCTTCAGCCATCACTGGCCTAAGCCCTGGAGTGTTCTCAGTAGTTTTCTCCTTCCCAGTGATCTCCCTAAAGCCTCTGCTCTTTAACCCAGATTTTAGTTACCCTCTCTGGTGCCTGTCTTGTATTCTCATTGTTAATTTTGATCTAACTACGTCTCTGTGAAGCATCTCGGGAGGCTTTTTCTGCATCAAAGGCGGTGTTGCAAGTTGTTGTTGACCGACCCTGTTTCTATATTTGTTTTCCATTATTCTTCAGCCACTTACCGCTATAAAGTATTCTTAAATATTTCTGAAGAAGGGGCCAGACCCAAAACATCAGCTTTCCTGCTCCTCTGATGCTGCTTGGCCTGCTGTGTTCATCCAGCTCTACACCTCTTAAATATTGATATAGTTTCTGATTCAGTCATGAACTCTGGCAGATAATTCCACAGCTTCGTAGCTTTCTGTTCCAAAAGTGTTTCTTTCAGCTCCCACTCCTATATCCTTAAATTAATTTTGTATCTATGTCCCAACTTTTATCTTTCAGAGCAATATATTTTAAACCCAGATGTGCCATCTTATTTTACTGACATTGCATCTGCCTGTTTTATGCCGATTCTACTGTTGCATCACTGTTGCCTTGAAGTTTAACTTGCACTTCAGAATTGTTTACTGCATTTCCCAGTGACTGCAGGTTAGGATACCATTCACACTAGTTCTAGAAACAGATCATTGGTTTGCGTTGTGACAGGAGCCACATCCAATCACTTTCAGAAACTGCTGTTAACTCCTACTGTGTTTTCTCTCTTCTAACCAGCTTTTAATCCAAATTGCAAACTCCCCTAATTCTGTTGTCTTAATCTTCTCTGGTGGCCCCTTGTGTGGTAACTTGTCAAATACTTTGTGTAAGTCCATGTACACCGCATCCTTTACGTTTCTCTAATTACCACAACCATTACCTCCTCAAAGCATATCTATTCATAGAATCATTTAAATCCCTACAGTGTTAAAGCAGGCCATTTGGCCCATCGAGTCCTTCCGAACAGCATTCCACCCAGATCCACCCCCCCCCACCCCCAACTTATCCTATCTCTATAACCCTGCATTTCCCATGGTTAATCTACCTAACCTACACATCCCTGGACATTATGGGCAATTTAACATGGCCAATCCACCTAGCCTGCACATCTTTAGACTGTGGGAGGAAACCGGAGCACCCGGAGGAAACCCACGCAGACACGGGGAGAATGTGCAAACTCCACACAGACAGTCACCCGAGAATTGATTCAATCCTGGATCCCTGGTGCTGTGAGGTAGCAGTGCTAACCATCAAGCCACCATGCTGGCCCTTCGCTAACAGAATCTTCCTTTCCGGAATAAAAACAGAAACTTCCGGAAAAGCTCAGCACACCTGTGGAGAGAAATCAAGAGTTAACGTTTCGGATTCAGTGACCCTTCCTCAGAACCCTGTCTGAAATTCTTGTTGGCTGTTTCTGGTTGTATTCTCTGTCTAGATGTGTGTTAACTTTTTCTTAAAAGAGCCATGATTTTCCCAGTCCTGCATTAAGACAATTGACTTCATTATCCTTGTTAGCTCTATCTCCCTTTTTGAAAATGGGTGTTGCATTGGCCACTCTGCAGAATTTCCAGGACCTGTTGTGAGTGTAACCTGAATGCCTTGTGCCATTTAGTGTGGCCTTTACTCTGCAGCTCACTGTTACT